GTCTTTACCTCTCGTGCACGAATTGAAGCATCCTGTCCCTGTGTTGAAAATATCCCATTATTTATAACTCCATACAAGCCCTGGGGCACAGCAGTGTGTGAATACACACCCCCAGCGTGGCTCTGGTGTGTTGAGCACGTCAGATGGCTGGTGGCTGAGGAGGCTGTTCCAGCAGAGAGAGACTCTTCAAGAGCAGAGCCTGACGTGTGTGTTCCCAGCAGGCTGGAGGAGTGTCCAGAGTGGCACAGCCACTGCTCAGGTTATGCCGTGCCAAAGGGTGGGATTGTTTTCAGTGCCATATTCTGTTAAAAAAAGGAGCCATTGATGGACTCCCAGCCTGATCCACATGCTCAGCACTACAAGCCATGTTTGCTGGGAGTGCTGAGTACAGTTACATCAGGAAGACTATAAAGGCTGGAAGGTATTCAAAACAGAGGAAAGAAACATCTCAATTTAAGATGACAGATTAAAAATATCCCTAAGTAATGTCTGGGTCGCTGGAAAACAACCAACCACAACTTAACAAAGCAGGAGGTGGTACCACCTTGCCTGGCAAAGTGGCAAATAAACTGCATTTTTTGGTTCTTTCTCACTGCTGGCACCCAAAGAGGGAGTTTCTTTTCACCATCCAAATGACATCAGCAAGAAAAATAAGTTGTGTTTCAATGTCACAGATTAGCTGGCTCCATGGCCCTGCACAATGAGATCATTTGAACCAAGTCCATGACTTAAATGTCTCTTTTCGGTCTTTTTTAATCTGAAATGTCAAACTACACGGCTTGTATAACATGAGTACTGTATGGAAAATGGGGAGGAAAAAATGCTGACTCTGGACTGTCAGAACCCAGGGAGAGCTGTCCTGTTCCAACCCATCCTTCTAGGTCACACCAAGTAGTAGATCTGGGACAGAAAACCAACAGGGTTTCCTAATGTTTCCCATTGGCTTTTCTGTGTTAAAATGTGAAAGGGCAAAGCTGTGTGAACGTGAAAATGGGAAAGCAGATCTCTACTGACTGTCTCAGTGAGGAACTGTCCTGCCTTCCCTCGGGCCTGTGGCAAAGCTGGTGGTGCCTCACTGGTGAGAGCAGAGGCAGGACATGGCTGTGCTGGGACACGGGCCCTGGGTGGGGACTGTGCTCCCTGTGTTTGGCTGCGGTGCCCGAGCACACTCCCAGGGAAGCAGGTGTGGTAAAGCTAACTCCTCTCTGTGTTCAGCTGACAGGGGACAGCACACCTGAGCTGGGGAATCCCATCAGGGATCCCACCCCTGCAGGGCCTGGCTGTGGCTCCTGGGGAGCAGGAAGAGCTGCTCCCGTTCCTTTGGGAAGGAGAAGGGGCACGGCACCGGCATCCTGGCACCTTCGTTCCTGTGCCCCTGGCACAGGTTCCTCACACAGTGCCAGCAGTGTCTGCCCCTTTATCCCAGTGCTCTTCCCTCCCTGCTCAGTGTTTTCCCACTGCCACTCACTGTCCCCACAATTTCCCTTTGCCTTCCCTCTGCCCCTGTCTTTGCTTCTCTTTTCCTGTTGGCTCTGTCCTTTTTTGCTCGTCTCTGTTTCACTGAGGCTGTTTGTGTGAGGAGGATCAAATAATTGCAGGGTTAAAGCAGACCCTTGAACTCGCAGTGTTTAATGGGTTTGTAATTAGGCCATGTATCCCTGTGAGAATGGGCAGTCTGGGAATTTGCCAGGATTTACAGGGGGATTTAGTAGCCTACTAAGAGTTTCCAGACCTATTAAATTCCCTAAGAAGTTTTAAAGACACCACCAGTTTTGGCAGGGAACTAGGACGTCTCTAAATACACATAAAACTGAGAGATGAGAAGTAGAAAAATAGTTATTTTGTAGAGAACAAGGAAAAGTGTCAAAGATTTTATCATTTAAAGTGCAGAAATAGATGTTCAAAATTATCTTGGTAACACATGCCTGACTTAGAGCATATGATGTGTTTTCACTGAGAATTTATATTTACATATTTGCTGAGAGGTGAATATTAAAATACACATTAGCCAGGCACTGTGCATGCAATGTACAGTAGGTATATGTGACTACTGCTCCTTTCTGATCCTGGAACATATAATTGTGTTTAAAAAGTGGTGAAGTCTCTGCTTTCCTCCATTCTACCTGTTTACCATTTATAAGGCTCTGTGGCACCACATTGTTCGTGTGTTTTGGGGAGATCAGTGTCTGTTAAATGTCAGGTGATTTTATTGTGGAGTCCTGGCTTATTCTTACTCAAAACTCAGACAAGTACAAACTTCTGTTGTTGTTTACTTTCCAGAGAGGAAGGGAAAATTACACATAACCTAAAAATACTTTCCTCCCCCTACTCCATGTCTCAATGCCTTGGAATAAGCTTTGGTCTTGGACAGAGTGGAGGGTAGGAAAAGACAGAAAACAAGTGGGCAGTTTTGTCACAGTAGCACAGAACTGCTGGTTTTGCTTCCAGGTTAAAGAAATCCAAACCATAATTAGCATTCTTTTCTCTGTTTAGTGACTACCCTGAAAAAGGACCACTAAAAATTAGTCCACTTACCTGTGCAGCAAAGTGAGTGTAGAACTGTGTGTAAAGTTGACCCGTTCGGATCTAGTTTTGGATCAGCAGTGGGTTTGACTTGTGAAATTTGAGTCCAACCTCAAATTCAGATTTTCTCATAGCTGTGATGTGTATCAGCATCTCTCAGACTGGTTTGGATCCATGTCCATATCTCCTGACTGCAGCAGTCCAACTGCACTTGCTCATGCCGAATTGGTTCATTCCTGTGAACAGTTTTGAAGTTGCAGTGAGTTTAAGTCTTGTTTAAATACAGGGAGATAAATTCAGCTGCTTCCATAACCACTGCAACATCACTGATGGCATCCTCACTACTGAAAACACTTGCTTCTGAAAGTGCTGACTTTGAGAGGAGTGGGATAATGCCAGAGTCTTCCTTGGGCCTAATAGTTTGGGGTTTATCTCTGTCAAGTGGTACAATGACCTTTTATTGTTGTTATTACACAAGCTCAGAGTAGCTCTCCCCTGCAGGTGCAGTAATTCCAGGCAGTCCTTGGCTTTGCACTGTATTTATGCCACTGATACCCAGCTCAGAGACAGCAGAGTTTGCCTTTCTGTGACAGCAGCAGGGGCTGATAGTTCTGCGTGTCATGCTGTGAGTTCTTAAAATATGATCAAAACTACCAGTCTGAAGAGCTTCTGGAAAACAAATTTGCAGTTTCAACATCAAGCACAAACTGTCCCTTCCTCCCTCCTCACGGAATCAGCTTTTGAAAGGCTGCAGAGACAAGGAGGGCTGAAGGTTGCCAGCAGCTCCAGGCAGGGTGGGTGACCCCGGCTGGGAGCAGCCCTGGGGCAGGGGGGCTCTGCCTGAGGCACCGAGGCCACTGCGCAGGGTTATTGTCCCCTCTCACTCAGGGAGATAAAAGAGATGGCCACAGGGGTCTCTGCTTCTTCACTGGTGGGGGAGATGATGGTGGACACTGGATCTGCATTTGCCAAGCAGAGTTCCTGGGGAAGAGAAATCCTGACGTTCAGTTCTGCAGGGGACAACAGCACTTACCTGCCTCGGGTGTGTGGCAGTTGCTTCTCACCATGTGTGAAGATCTAGAAAATACACTCGGTTAAACTTACTTGTGTGGAAATTGTGGCATCCATTCTTCATTTCTGAGGACTGGAAATGGTAGTATTTATTTTATGAAGATTCTTATGAAATACAATAATGTGCTGATGTAATTTTCACATGTTTTCATAGGCCTTTAAGTTTTTCTTGTCTTAGACTACTGTTACACTTACAGTTTGACCTTCACTCCAGCAAGACTTCCTCTGGAAAACATTCAGAAAGGCTCAGAACTAACAGAATGATTTTCCTTATTTTCATCCTTTTCAGAATTATTTCTGTCCCAGCTGTTCCTGCTTTAGGTGAGGGAATGGTGCAAAGCCATGGCTGTCAAATCCCACAAGCCCTCCCCGAGTGCAGTTTCCCTTTGGTTCCCTTTATCCATGTGTGTGGTTTTACAGCGTTTGGAATCCTTTGGCAGTTTCAGAAATAGTTTTCTCTAGCTAGTCTTCCCTCCTTTTGTTGGGTACAGGGATGGTGTGTCCCTCCAGCAGCCCCCTCTTCCTGTGGATGATCCCAGCCAAGCACAGCCATGGAAAGCAATCCCCCTTTGTCCACAGGGAATATCCCATGGAAAGCAATCCCCCTTTGTCCACAGGGAATATCCCATGGAAAGCAATCCCCCTTTGCCCACAGGGAATATCCCATGGAAAGCAATCCCCCTTTGCCCACAGGGACTATCCCATGGAAAGCAATCCCCCTTTGCCCACAGGGACTATCCCCAGCCCCCTGTCCCGGGCAGCTCCTTTGAGAGGGTGTTCTCAGTGGAGCAGTGCTGTGTAATCCCCCCGGGGTGGGAGGTGTTGAGCTCTCAGCACACCCAGTGCCCTTGGGGATGTTTATTTGGGGTTTGGCAGGCAGGGGTGACCCCACCCTCCCTGCTGCCCAGCCCCGTGCCCGGAGGGTGCCCCTGCAGTGCCCAGGGAGGGCTGGGAGCATCTCTGCCTCCACCTCAGCTTGGGCCTTCCTTCATTTCAAATGCAGCACAAAGGAACTTCTCTTTACGTTCTGAGATTTCAGCTGTTTCCATTTGCAGTTTGTAATTTCTTCACAGAGAGGTTTCTTTTGCCTTATATTTTATTCAAGCTTTTCCTGACAGTTTTTGGTAAATACTGTGTTTGTTTGTGCATCATTTACAGCTGATTCTTCAGCTTTGGGCAGATGTCATTTCTCTCTGACTGGTGCTCTCGTGTTTATGAGTTACATTTGTTTCACCTGAGACAAAAATCCTTTGCCCTCAGCACGTTATTGCCCTGATTATTAGTTTTTGTTTACAGATAGGGGTTTGATTTTATTATGTAAATAATATTCTGCTCTGATAAAGATGGCTGAGCCAAGTCAGAAATCACAAGAGTGTTTATAAATATTTATTCCTACCTTTTTCCAGGTTTTATCTGTGCTCTGAAACACTCCTGAAACACCCTGCTGTGTCTTGGATAGCCTAATGTTAGATATCTCAGGTATTCTTCTTAATTGATACGGGGTGGTAATGATAAAGAAAAGGTATTTTACCTTTATCTTACACGTGGCTTTTTTTATTCTGTGTCTGATGCAGATACTGCAGATACTGGTTTCTTAAGAAGCTGTTAAAACTGCTGGGATGACGAATTAAAGTGTTCTGTATCTGTTATAAGGTAACTAGGCAGAACGAGATTAAAATTTGAAGTGAGACAAGACTGAAATGTGTGCTGGTTTAGGTTTTTTGAGTGTCTTTTCTGATGAGCTTGTACTCCCTGTAAAACCCTTGCTGGTGCTCAGATGAGCTCTGAAATGTCCCCTGCTCACGGTGACATTGGCTGCACTGCCCTCCTGCTGGGAGCACTCCTGGGCTCTGGCAGGTGCCAGGGAATCACTGCTGCTGCAGTCATCTCCATGGCAGCTAGGGGAGATTAAAGCAGGAGATTTCTCAGATGGTTTTGCCAATAATGATTAAAACAAAATAGTGTTTCATTATCTTTCATATGATTTCATGGAGATTAGAGGGAATAATCCGAATTTTTGGGGGATTTAAAAATTAACCATTCTGCTTGCAGCATGTTTGAAGATTAGGCATTTGAATCAGCTTCTATCTATGAAGATGTTCACAGCTTTGTTAAGATGCATTCTGAGTTCCCAGCTTTAGTTAGTTTAAAGATATTAACAAGTGATACTTTATTTTTCATTTTTCTCTCATTCCGTGGTGGAGAAGCACAATAACGTTTTCCAACGTAATAATAATAATAATTAGTTTCTTGTATCAGGCTTAGAACACAGTGAAGGGGAATGTAGACCTGGGGAGTGTGACATTTCTGTAGTGTTGGTAGGGCTCAGAGCAGGGGGCAGTCAGTGCTCTTATTCCTCTTCTCTGAGCTCAAACTCAGAAGATTTAGAAGTTCTGAAATGTCAAAAGTTCTGAAGGAGTACTTGCTGACATTCTAAGGTTTACCTTGCTGGACCCTTTGCTAAATTTAGGGAGTTTGGGTCTATGGAATTGAATAAAGAAGCACCTGAGGAGGTGACACCACTGGCTTTCCATGATCAGGTTTTTCTAAGAGAAAATTAATGGATGTGTTATTAGAGCTGAACCCCCCCCCCCTCAGAAAATGTCAGTGCCAGTCTCTGCTCTGGTTACAGCTGTGGCTGACTCTGCCCTGGGTGAGCTCCGACCTGCTCTGTGTGTTTGTGCTTTCATGGCAAACACCCTGCTGGGAAGTCATGGCCTCCCTGGGGCTAGTCAGATTTTTTTGGAGAATAACTTAAAAATCCGGTGTTAGAAGGAACTCCTGGCACATTTCCCTTTTAAATACCCACCAGCCTTCCCAGTGACAGCCAGTGCAAGATGGAAGCAGATGGAACTTGTAGGTTTTGGAAATAGAGTCACAGTCATCCTTTGTTTTGAAGTGCTGATATTTTCCTCTTGCCAGCAAAGGCCTTTCCCCAGTGCATCCCCTGTGGAACTGGGTGAGGGCACTGCCCAGCAAAGGCCTTTCCCCAGTGCATCCCCTGTGGAACTGTGTGAGGGCACTGCCCAGCACACCTGGGGCACAGAGGGTGGGCTGAGCTGCCAGACCCCAGTGTGTGCCGGGGGGCAGAGACACCAGGGAGTCCCGGGAGCTGAGTGCCCACAGGAGCTGAAACCCCAGTTCCCAGGTCTGAGCACACTGCTCAGAGGGGGTTGCACTGTGTTCCCCCCACGCTCAGCCTGCCCTGTCTGTGGGTCTGTCTGTGCCCTGTGTGCCTTGGCCCTGCTCTCACTGGGGACATTTCTGCCTTAGGGGAAAGCAGCAGGGCAGGAATGTCTGCAATGTTACAGCAGTTTCTAACACAGCACGTAGTTCTGCTGTTTGTTTCCAGGTGCTGCTTAGGATCATACAGTTTAACATGTTAGAATTATGCTCTGCTAAAACAAAAATTCACTTTTCTGGATTTTCTGTTTTCTAAAGGAGAGTGTTCTGTGGTTACCTGGCAGGTATGTTCAGTGAACATCTCAGTTTTCTAGAGCTGCAGCCATTTATAGTACAAGTCCCACCTGCTTTCCATTAGAACTTGAATTTATAAATTATTTACATGTTTTTGGAAAAAAATCTCTTCTGTCTTATAAATTCTTTCCTCCCCTTTACTGTACCAGAATAATGGGTTTAATTAGGGCCCTGTGAACATGCTAGTTCTGTATCAGTCAGCTGCAGTTCTCACCAGGGATTTTATTCAGTTTATTCCATTTCCCATGTGACTTCCAGAGATGAAATCTCACAACTTGAGTGTGAGCCGACCACGTAGGAGGGGACAGTGACGTGTCATTGTCTGAACAGAGATGGAAGCTGTTTGAGACTGTCTGAGAACAGTGCCTGGGGCTCTGGAACACAGAGCCCTGCCACAAAAGCCCAGCAGTCTGGTAAAGGATGTCCTTGGGTGGTACCATTGCTGGTCCCTCATGGCAGGAGGAGGTGGGGAGCAGCCCCAGGCCCCAAGCACATGTGGGGTGGAGCCCATGGCAGGCGTGTCTGCAGAGCGGGGCTGGCACAGCTGGAGCCACAGGGGGGAACTTGGGCCCTGAACAAATTCCAATACATCTTTAAGTGGGAAGAGTGGTTTGGGACAGGAGGTGTGTCTTGGAGTTTCAAGCATTCCTGGTCTCCTCTTCAGTAATTTTTGGAAGGTTTAGGTTGGAAAATAGGCCCAGTAGAACATAAGCTGTGTCTGTATCTGGCAGTGGGGAAGCTGTCTAAGATTTTCTGTACGTAAACTATGAGAGAAAACAAGGTGCAGTCTTGTGTGGCTCATGATCCAGTTTGAGAAATATGAAGAAATACTAAACTTCATAATCTATCCACATTTCTGTCATTCCTAACGAGCCCACTCTCCTAAATTAAAGGTGCTCTGTATGTAATTTGAATATATCTTATTATAATAGAATCTTCTCTTCGCTCTTCCTAGATTTAGCAACTGTAATTTAGATTTCATATTTCCATCTGAAGTTAATTGTTATTCCTCCTAGTTCAGGAGAAGCTGCCAGTGGTGCCTAATAAAGAGCACTCAAGGTAAATTATGCTTCATGTCAATTAATTTAAATTTTGTGCCAGTGTTCAGAAGAGATCCACCCCATCCCATAAACATTATTAGCATTACAGCACTGTTTCTTTGGGGAAATTATTGTGTATATGAAATAAGATTTTTGGAGTGAAAATTTCTTCTGGCCAAAGCCCACAGTGCTCTGCCTTGCTCTTACTACTTTCAAATTGTGTACTCCTGGCAGCTCTTTCAATACATGTTTCCAACACAATAATTTTCCATACAGACTTTTCCCCAGAATGACAGTTAGGGATTGGGCATAGAAAGGGTTCTTTTGGGACACGGTGGTGGAAGGGAAGAAATGCTGACTGTGTGATGCAGAGGTTCAGGAAAGCCCTGGTGCAGTGCAGTGCACACAGAAACCAAACCCACCGTGCTGGGCACTGGGGGGCCCAGCCAAGGATCCCAGAGCCCTTGGAATGAGCAGGGCCCTGTTTGCCCTCGGAACAGGCTCGAGGCACACAGAGAGGAGAGGCTGTGAGGTGTCCCCAGCACCCGGGGAAGCTCCTCCTGCAGAAACCAAACCACTGCCCTGTTCCTGCAGCACCTCTGGGGATGTTGGATCCCGTGTGCTGACTCCAGGGTCGGTGGGACACGAATGAGCCATCAGGAATGCAGGGCAGGGGCAGGGATGGGAGGATGAAAAGGTAGGAGTTCAAAATTTAAATCTGTATATTGTAAGTCGTATGAGGAGCAGCTGAGGGAGCTGGGGGGGCTCAGCCTGGAGAAAAGGAGGCTCAGGGGGGACCTTCTGGCTCTGCAACCCCCTGACAGGAGGGGGGAGCCGGGGGGGGTCGGGCTCTGCTCCCAGGGAACAAGGGACAGGAGGAGAGGGAACGGCCTCAGCTGTGCCAGGGGAGGGTCAGGTGGGACATCAGGAGGGATTTTGTCACAGAAAGGGTGGTCAGGCACTGTCAGGGGCTGCCCAGGGAGGTTTGGAGTGCCCAGCCCTGGAGGTGTCCCAGGAAGGCCTGGCCATGGCACTCAGTGCTCTGGGCTGGGGACAAGGTGGGCATCGGGCTGGGAGGGCTTTTCCAACCTCAGGGATTCTGTGATAACCTGTGTTTACAGAAGAGTAAATAATAATAAGTAAGCCCCAAATAATGAGATCTTTGGACCATTATTAACATGATCTGACTTGCACCAATTCCTCAAAGTGGATTTGAAACTTTTTCATGTCAATCCTAATGGAAGATCAGAGCATTGATCCTTTTTATTTTCACAGTGGCTTAATTTGGCAAGTGTGACAATCTGACTGAACTGTTGAGTATTGGGGTTCAGACCCCTGGGGGGTCACAGAGTGGAACCCCCAGTTGTGCAGGTGCTGTTCACTGCTGGGGTGGAATGCAAAGACTTGAGAAAATCTATGTCAGACTTCAGAAACAACTAGAAGTCTTTAAGCCAAATGAGCTATATTTGATTCTGCTATAGAAAGTCCCAATTTCTCCTGATCCCGTCCATCATTTTTCAGATTCCCTCTCAGTGGAACAGGGTGGGCAGTTTACCCTCCAGGTGATGAGGTCAGGTCATTACATCTCCAGAAAGGCCAAATATAGAATTCTTTTCTTTCTGAGAACTCCATCGGGAGCTTTATTCCTTTTGATATGCAGCTGTATTAGGGTTTTCTGCAGTATTCTGTTCCCAGTCCTTCTGTGCCTCCTGGTTTTTTGGGCATTGCAGAGGAGCTGTTCTGTTCCCAGCTGCTGCACTTTGGTGGGGGTGATTGTTGTTTATAATTATCCTGCACACTACAGTTCAAATAGATAATATCAGATGTTTCTCAATATCTGATAGACCTGTTGTTACCACAGTGACTGTGTCACATGAAAGGCAGCAAAAGGACACAGCCTCGTTTTTGAGATGGAGATTCCTGTGGTGTGTGTGGTTCTGGGGAGAATTTTTGGCTGCTACACACCCTGTGTTCTCCCTGCCAGGAGGATGGGATTTAGCTGCAGTTATTAGTCCTCTGCTTTTCCCACTCTGGCATCAGGGATATTTGGAACAACATATTTGTGTCACTGGAAGTAGGTGCCCCAGTTACAGATCTCACCTGCCCTGCGCTGTTGTTGAGACAAGTTCCTGTCCT